TTTAAAAAAATGCAAAATACACTATCATCAAAGTACAAAAATGATAATATCACCAACAAATGAGCAAATTGTAATTATCAAATTTCTCTTTTCCAAATCACCGCCATTACTGAAATGGGAAATGAAATAAGTGAAAAAAATTGTTGGAAAAGAAGTAAACAATAACTATGACAAAGATATTAAAATAAATTATTATACGAATTAAGTAGGAAAAAAGAAAAAAAACATTATTGGTTACATTTAAACATAAGTATTTGCGCTAAATTAGCAATGCTGCTATTAATATTATTTGGGAAATGAATTCTACCAGAAATTTATGAGATGTGAAAATTTTCACATATATTTTATTGTTTTAATGCATATAATTCTAGCTGAAATTTTCACCTATAAATTGAAAATCTGATTTTTCGAAATTTAAAACAATTTGCTCTCGAATTAAACGAAAATTTAGGATGAAGTTAAAATAATGATTTTTTACTGTCAAAGTTAAGCTAAGATTTGGAATTTTTAGCAAGATATCAGAAACGATTTTTAACAAACAATGTATACATTTTAACACTATAATCAGGGCAGAAAAACGACGATAAATTAATTAACACCAAGACCATTTACTAAGTAAGTAATGGTGCCAAGGTATGACAAAAAACCTAAGTAAGGATATTTTGGCACGATGAGAATACATGATAATTTGTTGATGATAAATACATGATAATTTGTTTACAGTAATTTGCTTTTAGCAATGTATCTACAATACTTACTTATTATAATAAAATACTAATAAACTTATACTTAAAACTGGAATAAGTTTTGTGCCAAAGATCGGAAATACGGAAAATTTGCTCATGGCAACCTGAGAATACAACAAAAACGAAAATCGACATTAATGACAGAATTACAAGAATGAATTACTTCAAAATGAAAATTATCAAGTAATTTGGTTTACAAACAAATAACATAATTATTGCGTTTGTTTTTTTTTCCATTTTATTTTTTGGAAAAGTGAAATTAAGAAGATTTTTTGCAAAAATTAAAATTAAGCAAAAAAATTGAAAAGAAAAGACAAAAATAATGACTTTTCACAATATCATTGGCCTATATAGAAAGTAAGCAAAAGAAAGAATAAATATAGCGATATTTCTATAAAACGAAATATGTTTTTTTTACTAAGAAACATAGATCCTTAGCAAATTTATTTCGAAATAAAAATTACTTAGTTTTTTTTTTTTGTACGGGACAGATTATCAGGTATGTTTATCAATCCATATGCTATTGTTTATAATAATCACTATGCTGATATAGTACTTGGAAATTATCAATTCCCTCAGTGTCTAATAAATTCTCCTCATTCTATTGTATTTAAAATTTCAATTTGAAAAGGCTAAACAACAATCCTCTAAAGTAAAATTAATAAAATCGAGCAAAACAAACGCGTATGTCATGTCAATGTTAACATGGCTACAGTAGATAATCATTTTGAAATTAAATCTTTTATTTATTAAAATTTTAAAATCTTTTATCACGACTGTAGCGTGGCGGTTGCGTCCGATAAGTAGGTGTCGAGTAGTACATCATTGACTGAGGAGTGGAAGATGGAGACGTTGAAACAACAATACCGGCAGTTTGGCGTAAATTACCATCGATCAGGTATTGTTTCCAATTAGAACGCAGTTCAATTGCCGAATCTCGTTCCTATGTTAAACTATGCTTTTATCGATTGGTTGATTGCATCATTTCAATGATAATTTATTAGCAATTTCCATCTACACATAAATATTTCAAAAAAAAGAAAGAAAAAAAAAGTCATCCAACTGAAGCATTTCAAATACCACCGAAAGAAAAAGAAAATGTAGCAGTAACATAAGATAGTTTGAAAATTTAACCAACCGAAGACCGCTCATCACGTAAAACATGTCGTGAGGTGGATGAATGAGACTGTCGCCTTTCCGGTTTTCGCCCATCATAACGTCGTGATTGCACTGGTGAGTGTGATTCAGGTAAATTTGAAGACTGAAATTTCATTAAACATCAACATTCCAAACTTTATTCAATGATTGAGAGGAAGCTTAGTAGTAATGAAGAAGATTGCTCAATTCTTCAACATCATGTGGTGATATTTTAATTTAATAACCAATGATGGCGGTTCTTCATAGATCGATTCGTCATTTGGTGAATGATCCTCGGTGGTCATTCGTCGTCGTTCTCGTCGAGGTGTATGTCGATTAGATAGGGTTACTCGTGGTGATGATGGTAGGCTGAGAGATTGCTGTAAAATAAAAATAAATAAGTAAATAAAAATTGATTTCAAAGCCTGGTAAAATAATCGCCACGAGATACTTATCAAAAATAAAGTTTTAATTTGGAAAAGTAAAAAGAAATCTAAAGACATCTTTCAGAAACTTCATTTTGAGTTATAAATTTACTGTCATTATATTACAAAGGATATTCCTAATTAACGATGGACTTTTTGATGCTTATTTACTAATCATATCAATTATCAGTTTACTTCATTTAATCTATTTGATAACTGCAATAAATTTTTCAAGGGAAGACAAAACTGCAGAAAAATTGACCTCGCTATTTTCACGACGTCGACTATTAGATGATCGATACATTGGATTCGGTTGATAGGGAAGTACATCAGGTATCAAGGCAGGAGCAACCGTAGCAGTTACCGGTAAATAACCCGCTGCTTTAGATGAAAGCAACATTCCTCTTGTAGTTGGTGGCGCTGCTAATGCATATGAATATTGTCTAAAAAGATATTTCACCAAGCATTATACATTTCCAAAAATTTTTCAATTCTTAATAATGGGGATATCGCTATGATGAATTATTTGCTTACCGGCTAATTGGATTTATGTAATTTTTTTTCTTTTTTTTTTGTTTTGTTTTCTAGTTCTAGA